ACAATGTTATATACAATGTTATACAATGTTATACAATGTTATACAATGTTATACAATGTTATACAATGTTATATACAATGTTTTATACAATGTTTTACAATGTTATACAATGTTATACAATGTTATGCAATGTTATACAATGTTATATACAATGTTATATACAATGTTATACAATGTTATACAATGTTATACAATGTTATACAATGTTATACAATGTTATACAATGTTATACAATGTTATACAATGTTATATACAATGTTATATACAATGTTATATACAATGTTATATACAATGTTATATACAATGTTATACAATGTTATATACAATGTTATATACAATGTTATATACAATGTTATATACAATGTTATATACAATGTTATATACAATGTTATATACAATGTTATATACAATGTTATATACAATGTTATATACAATGTTATATACAATGTTATATACAATGTTATATACAATGTTATACACAATGTTATATACAATGTTATATACAATGTTATATACAATGTTATATACAATGTTATATACAATGTTATATACAATGTTATATACAATGTTATATACAATGTTATACAATGTTATATACAATGTTATACAATGTTATACAATGTTATACAATGTTATACAATGTTATACACAATGTTATACACAATGTTATACACAATGTTATACAAAATGTTATACACAATGTTATACACAATGTTATACACAATGTTATACACAATGTTATATACAATGTTATATACAATGTTATATACAATGTTATATACAATGTTATTTACAATGTTATATACAATGTTATATACAATGTTATATACAATGTTATATACAATGTTATATACAATGTTATATACAATGTTATATACAATGTTATGACATGTTTATTACCTTATATACATGTTATATACAAGTGATATACAAATGTTATATCCAATGTATTACAATTTTATGCACTGTTATGCATGTTATACATGTTATAACGATGTTATACGATGTTATAACATGTTATCCAATGCTATACTTTTAGACAATGTTATTTCAATGGTTATATACAAATGTTATATACCATGTTATATACTAGGTTATATACAATGTTATATACATGTTATATACACTGTTATATACAATGTTATAATACATGTTATTACAATGTTCTATACAATGTTATCCAATGTTTATCCAATGTTATATACAATGTTATATACAATGTTATATACAATGTTATATACAATGTTATATACAATGTTATATACAATGTTATACAATGTTATACAATGTTATACAATGTTATACACAAGGGGGGGGGGGGGGGGGGGGGGGGGGGGGTGGGGGGGGGGGGGGGGGGGGGGGTTTATATACATGTTATAATACAATGTTATACACAATGTTATACAATGTTATACACAATGTTATATACAATGTTATATACAATGTTATACAATGTTGTATACAATGTTATACAATGTTATACAATGTTATATACAATGTTATATACAATGTTATATACAATGTTATATACAATGTTATATACAATGTTATATACAATGTTATATACAATGTTATATACAATGTTACAATGTTATACAATGCTATATACAATGCTATATACAATGTTATATACAATGTTATATACAATGTTATACAATATGTTATACAATGTTATACAATGCTATATACAATGTTATATACAATGTTATACAATGTTATACAATGTTATGCAATGTTATACAATGTTATACAATGTTATACAATGTTATACACAATGTTATACAATGTTATACAATGTTATATACAATGTTATACACAATGTAATACACAATGTTATACACAATGTTATACACAATGTTATACACAATGTTATACACAATGTTATACACAATGTTATATACAATGTTATATACAATGTTATATACAATGTTATATACAATGTTATATACAATGTTATATACAATGTTATATACAATGTTATACAATGTTATACACAATGTTATATACAATGTTATATACAATGTTATATACAATGTTATATACAATGTTATATACAATGTTATATACAATGTTATATACAATGTTATATATAATGTCATATACAATGTTATATACAATGTTATACAATGTTATACAATGTTATACAATGTTATATACAATGTTATATACAATGTTATATATAATGTTATATACAATGTTATATACAATGTTATACAATGTTATACAATGTTATATACAATGTTATATACAATGTTATATATAATGTTATACAATGTTATACAATGCTATACAATGCTATACTATTGTCCCATATTGTCCCTTATTGTCCCATGACTTTCCCCATGGTCCCATGAAAAAATCATGGCACCCTCGGCTCCTGGTCCTGGCGCTCCGAGGCCCAGCTCTTTGCCAAAGCCAGCCACGCAGCTCGCTGGTCAGCGCTCAAACGTGCCAACAGCAGCGCAGCCTTCGAAAATGCTGGTGAAAGCGGTGAAAACATGTGTTTTGAGAATTTTAGTAATTTTGGGATTCAAAATGATTCAAATAATAATGTTTGTCCATCTCAGATTGAATATCTTGACTCAGAAGCTGGCAGAATATTGAAAACTTAGCTTCCGACATGCGGATTTTTGGGGTCCAGTTCTAAGGCTTCCAGTGCCAAACGTTCCGAGGTCTTCTCAGCCTCGTCGCGTCGTGGACGCATGGACACATGGAGGCGTGGATGGGCCATTGCAGAAACGTGCGCCTGTTGCGCCTGCTTCTGCCCTTGCGCACCAGGAGTTGGGATGGACGCAGCCTTCACTGTCACATGATGTCATATGCCATATCACTGTGAATCAAGTGTTATATCGTGTTACCATGTTCGGTGGTCCTACAAGACCTTGCCTCCAAGGCAAGGCATGCCGCATTCAAACGACAGTGCAACCCAAGTTCTCTAGCTGGCGCAGATGCCTTGGCCAAAAGACTCAGTCAGCAGTTCTTTCAATGACCTGTTGATTCGGTATGATTAGGTTGCATACTGGCAGTCTGCTGGTCTTCAACAGTTCAACAGCTCTGCAGTACATGGACACGGCCTCGCAAAGGGCGCTGTCATGGCGCAACAACAAGCACAACAGCTGGACAGGCGCCTCTCGAAGACTCTTTTGGCGCTCAGAGGGCTCCTGGCAGTTGATGCGCCGTTCTGGATTCTCCTATGACCAAATCAAACATCATGTGATGTTGGATAATCGGATAGATAACAGCGTTTGCAGTTGAATCTGGTACTTCCAACGCTTGTGGCATGTCAGCCCCAGCCCGGTCCTTTCCATGCGCATGGTGAGCCAAAGCATTGGCCTCACCAGCGACCAGGATGACCAGGCAGCTGAATCGTAGCAGCGACCCCAGCCCGGTGGATCCCGTGGACCCGCTCCTGCTCTCGCAATTCACTGGCTTCAGCAAAGCAAGCTTGACCCTCATCGTCATCGTCCTGTCAAAATATATCAAAATATCAAGTCCAATGGCTCGCCACAAATCGCAACGCTTGTGTTTTCTTTGCAGGTCTTGATTTCCACTTCCATCCAATTGCTCAACACGGGATTCTGAAGAGAAACAACAGTGGCTGCCCTGTGAAACATATGAGTTCGAAGCAATTTTTCGAGCCTCGAGAAAAGCCCATTTCGAAAGATCCATGGGACCCATGGGACCGACAATACCGACAGTATCAATTGTTGTGCACACAGCAAAGCAAGCGCCAATCTTGGAAGTTGGTGTCACTTGAGCCACAGGTAAACACGCAGAGTTCAAAAATAGGCTTTACAAATGGAGCAAAGTTATACACAACAAAATACACAACAAAAAGGCAAAATACCAATTGAACTGGAAACTGGTGAGATCCGATTTGGCAACCCGGATTATTCCCGCACGACTCGACAGGAAGTTTCATGCTGTTAGCATCGGCACTGGAAATGTGCCAACCATACATCCAAATGCTAGTTTCGAGATAGCCTGTTTGATCGGAAAGATGCAGCCATCGGTGGTCGGCAGCGAAAAGGCTCGACCTTTTCCTGCATTGATAGGGGACCTGGCAGATCACTGCCTGAAGCGCGAACCATCACCCAGTGGGCTGTAGGAATCCTCGTCGTCTCGTCCTTCATAGGAGGGTCTTGTGCTATTCTGAGTCATGAGACATCATGAGATCAAGCTTTGATAAGAGAATGTCAACAACTGGCACATCATAAGATCATCATGAGTCAACAACTGGCCAATATCTTTCTCAATGCAGCAAAGATTCTCAGCTCAAGGTCCGACCCGATGGAACCTTGTCCATACCTCAGAATAGTTGGAATGCAAAATCAAAACGTGGACATCTGTTATATTTCTCGTTCTTCACCCCGTTTCCCAAAGGACACTTCCTCGCATTTTCATGTATTTTATGTATTGTGATTCCAATCCCACAACAAAATCTTGGCTTCTGGCCAGCCAAGCATGATTGAAGTTGGGAATGGTCCTTGTTCTTGACCTCCCTTGTCCTTATAGTACCACTGACCTCACAAAAGATGTCAAAGCGTCGCGGCTGCTTCTACACAAAACATGTTAAAGTGTTTTTTCGGTGATGAATGCTGTAGTATCAACGGTGTCGCAAAAGTGTCTCAACCATCTCCAAAACACACTGGCTCCACAAAAGCTCCACAATGGCTCTCATGTCTGGCCGGTTTCGGCAGCCAACTCAGCGGCCTCGGCATCTTTTTCAGCGCACGCAAAGCTAGGAGGTCTCCGTGTCAGGCACTTCACTCATCATCCACCGCAGCAGCGGTCACATCTGCCGTCAAGGTGTTGACAGCGTCATCGGCTTCGGGTCGCATCATCTCCACTCCGGTGTCATCACCACCCTCACCATGCAACTCCATAAGCTTGGTGATGTCGAACTTGGGCTTCTTCAAGATCTTCACCTTGCGGATCAACACATCTTTTAATGGGAAGATGCCTTGGGCTTGCTTCTCAATTTCCTTTCCAATGGACTCGGGGATCAATTTCTTCACCAGCTCCCGCAACTGGACCTTGCTGGCCTCTTGGGTCATCACTTCCACCATCTTGCGGCGGATCTTGCGGATCTGCGCGGACTGGGCATAGCAATTGGCCCTCACCTGATCAGGGCGTCGCTTGGTGAAAGCGATGCAGAACATCCGAACCACGTAGCCATCGGTGGTCTTCACATCCACATGTGCCTCAATCAGGGTCTGCCACTTCTTGATCAAACTACAGATCTTGTCACGAGTCAAGGTCATTCCATGGAAGTCGGTCAAGCAGCTTCGTCCCTGCACTTCCTCAATGCTAAGGCGGATCTTCTTGGACGCCTGGTCTTCATCATTGTTCAGGTCTGCCAGGTTCACTTCCAAGACACGGCCTTTCAGCTCCTCCGTGGCGATCTTGGTGCCCTGGGTTCGAGATACCAAGGTCTTGCCGCAGTTTCGCACGCTGAACATGCTTGGTGCCTTGATGTCATACCATTCCTTCCGGAGAAATGGATCACCGGCCTTCTTTTTGCCGCCCTTCTTTCCTCCCTTTGTCAGGCGCTTGTTCTTTCCCACAGCCATTTTTGGGTGTTCCTAGACTATTTCACCTGCGCGCGTTGAGCCCTGCAACAGAAACACTGAGCTATAACAAGCCAAGACATGCCATGCTATGACTGCAAGAGTACCAACAACTTCATGAGCCAACCAACAAGACAAGAAGTGGAGCTTCACCAAGAAGAACTCTCAACGTCCATCTGAGAGGGGTGCGTTCGGTCTCTGTAGGTGCAGAATCTGCCTGAGCTGAAAAATGTCTTCTTCCCTGACGTACAGGGTTTCAAGATGTTTCAAGTCCCCCACAGGTCTTGAGGTTGGTACTGGTGGTACTGGTCCTGGAACTGTCGTCATGGGTCCTGAGACTGGATGCGCCCATAAAAATGGCAAAGGAAACGGCTGAAGTCCTGGAGTCGGCAAAGGTTGGGCAACTTTCATCACCTGGAGAACAATGGCTAACAATGGATAACAACTAGCAAGACAAGAGCATCCCGGATCGGAAAATCTTTGATTCCAATCATGACCAGTTTGACAGTTTGATGAAGGGGGGCTTCAAGGAGGGCTTCAAATGCTTCAAGGGTGGCTTCAAGGGGGGGGCTTAAGGGGGGCTTTAGGGGGCTTCGACAAGGGGGTTGAACGGCGTTGAAGTGGACTCCGAAAAAGAAACACGTTTGGCCTCCTCTGTTTCATCGTCCTGGGCAGTTGCAGACCAAAACGGACACCAAAAAACTCACAAAGGAGACACACTGCTGATGCAGCGGAGTCGGGGAAGTCCTCCTCTGGCTCACTGGAGTCTGACATAAATTGGTTTGGATCGTCTGGATCAACCTGGCAAGGATCTTGTTTTCGATGTATACAAAGCCTTCTATCTTTCCCGAGTTCAAACCATCGGCCTAGTTTTGGAAGGGTCAACTGCGACGTGCCTCTGGCCAAGTTTTCATCAGCTGGAACGCAATGAAAACACAAACCTCGGGCGTTTCACATGCCATCACAGTACTTCAGGTGATGAATTTTCTGTGACCGACATTGCGGAAGTCTGGAAGCAACACTGAATTGCATCAAAAACAGGATTACAAATTGCAAGTGGTCTAAAACTGAGATGTGGGCACACTGTCCGAAACCGCCAACGCATGCAATAAAGAAAGATGCCCTGCGCACAGGAACTCAAAAAAAGACCCCATGGAAGTTGCTCACCACCAACTGGGTTGTTGTGTTTTCATGCTGAGCGCACAGAGCCGAACTCCTAGCCTGTCAGCACCAAAAGTCTAAGGCCTAAACCCTGGAGTTGGAACTGGATACCAAGATTCTTCGTCCAATGTGTCAAAGATGCCCTGCAGGGTGAACGTGTGCGAAAACAAATCGAGTGTGTTGCAGGAACAGCACCATTGAAAAAAAATAAAAAGACCCAGCATACAACCCCAATAGCAAAGTTTCACATCTCCGCTGACGCCAATTTGGTATTGTCCGGGGGACCATTTTACTCCAAAAAAATACCGTTTCTCCAATCCCACCAACACACCACCGGAACACGGCCAGAACAACACAGAAACACCACGAAAACATGAGCAAGACTCAAAACATCACTGAACGCCGTCAAGACTTCCGGACACACCGCCAAAGTGCCACCAAGACACCAGCAGGAGGACAGACACCATCAACCATCAGGACTGACACCATCAGGACAAACACAACCAATTCCCGAAAAGGCCCGCGAAGGGTGTTTGTTTTCCCAAAATGTTGCTGCCAGCATACGTTGTCATAATATCGTTTTTCGTTTTTCCCATCACCATCATCACAACACCATCAGTACAGACATCCACCATCATCAAAACACCATCGTCATCATGATCATCATTTGTTTCTTCATTTTCATCTTCATCTTCATCATCACCATCACCATCATCAAAACACCATCATCATCATCATCATCATCATCATCATCATCATCATCATTTTTTCAATTTCATCATCAGCATTTTTTCATCAACCATGCCCGTAAATCAATCATCAATAGTTGTTGTCATCATCATCATCATCATCCTCTTCTTCTTCACTTTCATACATCTACAAAATGAAAGTAGGCATTTGGCACGAGCTTCGCTGCCTGTCGAACTAAGGATTCATTGTGTCAAGCTTCGCACACTCGAGAAGTGTAACAGTTCTTCAAGTGTTTTATTTTTGCTATGATTTGCACCTGCCTTTGCTGGCACGCACATATTCATTTTGACTTCTGAGACACCTCACTCACATTTCTCTTTTGATTCCAGCACTCACACTCGATCACTTAATTTGAGCCATGGCAACTGAAACACCGCCTGCTTCGCCGACACCGTCGGCGCAGCCGAGTCGAGATCACCCAGGAAGACTACGATTTGCTGCAGAAACTCAAGCAACAAAACCAGCAGCCTCCAACAGAGAGTCGACCAGATTCACCCAAGAGACAAAAGCTGGATGATGACCTACAGACATTTGTTGATGCCTTAGCTGAACGAGAAATAGATTGGATGGAGCTTGACCCTCAACTCAGACATCGCCTGCAAACTGATGCTGAGGCTCGAAGAGATTTTCAGCTTGTGCAATTGACACCGGATGCAGCCAAGGCTTATGACCCGGAGAAGAAGAGCTTCACAACAGTGAACCTGAGCAAAAAGCGGATCTTTAGTGACCAGGAAAAGTTGACGGCAGAGACACCCACCTTGACCATACCGGAAGAGTCCATCAAAGCTGCTATGATAGAATATCATAGCCAAACCGTGCTCCCGAACATGGACAAACTCTGGAAGACATGTGCTGAATTTTACGCAAATACGGTAATGGAATCCCAATATGTACAGCTGCACTTTGACCTTGTGGACACACGACTGCGCTCCCTGGAGCAGTCACGGTCCAACAAGACAGTATTGATCCGTGGATTGCCTGCCTTTGGGTACTCCCGTTCGGCCCTAGAGAAGAACGTGCGATATTTCCTTTCCAAGGCTTCCCTGGACTTCTCATGTGTCGCAGCCATGCATAACCATTTGGTGAGCTCGTCCTCGAGCATCGGAGCTGACCACTGAAGAACAGCGGCGCCAGCTCTTTCAGGCAATGAGAACCTCAAAACAGATGTGGCGTTTACCCATCCAACAGCAAGACCAATATCACGAGGAGAAAGCCAAGGTTGAACAGGATCTCCCCACAGATGAGCGAATTGCCCTACAGCCTTATTATACAATGATGGATATTTTGCAAAAAATTGGCCCAGCTGGTGCCAATGGGGAGCTACAGACTGACCGCAACACACTACAAATCTGGCGTAACAAAGCTCAGGCTCCTTGCCCACTTCTCTCCCAGGTGTGCTACCTGCTGGATCACCGGTTTGCGCGTAGGTACGTCTGCGTGGTGTTTGTCGCAGAGGCCTACTATGAGGAAACCCTGGCCCACTGGCATGAGGCATTCTCCTCGAGGATGAGAACAACACTCATGTTGGTGCAAGCCCTTCAGCGAGCTGTTGGAGACAAGACCACAGTGGCTCGCCACTCCTGGAACAAAGCATTTGACTTGGCTAACATCCCAGACCCTCAGTTGCACTTTGAATACCCATTGATTCCGCTGAGCATGTCGAGCTCTTTGGCAGCACTGCTTGAGAAGCACCCGTCTCTTCCGCTGCAGGGGGCGCCCGGCCTTCTAGCGACGGTATCTCAAGTTTTTCAAGATTACGGGGTTCAAGTGGAAGATTATGGCAAGGGGAGCTCAAAGGGTGCGCTTCGAGACAAAGGCTCTGACTCACCAAAAAAGAAGGGGAAGTCGAAAGGCATCAAGCCCTGGTCCAATTGGCAAGACCGTGCGCCAGATCAATCCAAGTGGCAGTGGCGAAGGGATGATGATCATCAAGATGGACCCTCGGGCCCCTCCTGGCCTGCCAAATTTGGCAGCACATGGACGAACTGGAGTGCCCGCCCGACAGGAAAGGGCCGCTCCACTGCAAAAGGCAGCTCGCGTGGTAGCAGATCATGGGAATTCATGCTGTGTCAAATCTGTCTTTGCGCTTTGGGTGTGAACTTGGATTGCCGAGAATGCAGCAAGTATGAGGCTCCTCCAGGCACTGCGAAGCAGCCGGCCCCTGTGAAAACAGTTTGGTGCCCAGGTATTGCTGCGGATGGCAGCATCTGCAATGCACGACTGGGCTTCGGTGATTGCAATTTGTGTCGGGCGCATGTCGATTTTTTGGAAGTATCCACAATCCGACTCCTTGACGGTATCTCCGTATCGGCTTGCAGAGATATATCAGGTGGACCGCATCCTGTATGACTATGACTTGACCAAGTGTGACCCAGAAAAGCTTCAGCACTCTATCCAAGAACTCCTACATCGCATTGGCGAGACTGGCACCGACCAATTCACCACAGAGCAATGGTCCTTTGCATGGATCCTTCGGGTTCTTGCGCGAGAACACCATTTCCTTCCCTTGCTTCAGTCTTCAGTTCTGCCCTTTGAAATCAATCCAAAACAGACGGAGGAATACCTCCACAATGCTGGCTGTGACATCACCACGCTGATCAGGGATGATTTTGCCACTTTGGATTATTTTGCTTTCCTTTTTGAGGAACTATGGCAACAAGAATGGGAATCTTTGACTTCGCATTGGGAACTGCAAGATGAGATAGCTGACCTCAATTTGATCACAGCGGTTGTGATCCCGTGGGACTCCATGGTTGCTAGCTCGCTGCAGCTGGCTTTTGAAGAATTGGAGCAGGGCGAGCTCCTTCATAGCAAGCCCGGCACCAAGCTCACCTGAGATCTATTTGACCTTTTGGGAGCCTCACTGGCAGCTGATGATTTTTCGCCTTTTGAATCTGTCTTGCACCGTTTAGCAGACTGGCTGATGCATTCTGACTTCAACTTGGATGTTTTCTTGGGCTGCAATCTCTATAGCAATGAGACCTTGAAATCCCTCAGTGCATTTGCGACTGCTTTCACTGATGTTTGTTTCTGGCAGATTTCTCGCGCATACATGGTTCACACTGCCAAGAAGCCAAAGGCTCAACATCAAGTGCACAATGAGGCCCTAAACTTTTTATATGACAAATTGATCCCTTTGCTCCATCTCTCACGGGAGGACGCACAATGGGCCCTTACCCAACGTCATTTCAACAATAAAGGCAATTCTTTGGAGGTGTTGTTGTTTATCTATGCTGAGGAAGGGTCCCATGGGGATTACTGGCAGTTGCTTTGGGTTCTGTTTATATACCAATACAAGGATGCCCGGTTCCCATGGATTGTTCAAGTTCTCTGACTAGCTAATTCGTCAGCCTCGAGTGAACTAATGACCTTTTCCCCCAAAATGTTGATCCCCAATCAAGATCTGCTGCAGGAACAATCTAATAAGGAAATTGCGCCTACTAAGGAAAGCGCACAAAAGGGCCAAAGGCCCCTAGACTCTCTCAGAACGGATTGCTCCAAATGGCTGCATTCCTCTCCTTTCTCAGGCAATGCGAGTGTATATTCAATATTACGGTTGGCAGAGCGGCCGAGGGCCAGCGAAACTAAGCGTATGTCCAGGCTTCGAGCTCCAAATAGTGTTTGTCTGGTTCTTTCTAGGCGCTGGGCTGGCATGGCCATGGACGTGCTTTTTTGCGAGTGCTCGGAACAAAATTGGGCAATGTCAGCTATAGCCCGCAACAGACAGGCTCACATCACAAACGGCAATCAATTTTGCCAGCAGTGTGGTCTTTTTCTAGGCACATGGTTTTTCACTAACCTGCCCACCTAGTGTTCAACAGCAAATTCGATCCACTGGTCCTTGTAAAATCTCCCCTGGCTGCACTTCTCACACCTTCTTTTTCCGTAAATTCATCCAACGCGGTCGGCTCTCCCTTCCACCTTCCCGCCTTCAGACTTTGGCTACGCCGCATCGACGAATTGTTCTACGTTCGTGGAATATAGAAACTTTGCGCGGTATTGGCAAATTCGAAATGCTAGCCCAGACCCTCAACTCCCTCCCAATGGGAATTGTCTGCCTGCAAGAAACTAAGAGCCTTTGCACTGACCATGTAAGATCTTTAAATTGGCACTTCTATCTGTCGGGGGATGCGTCAGACCCCCATGCCGGTGTTGGCTTCGCTGTTCCCCAATTTCTCCACCCGCTTGTCCATGATTTTATACCCGTAACTTCTCGGATAGCAATTCTACAGCTCTCCACCAAACCCCGCCCCATTTCCCTTTTCTCCATCTATGCTCCCTCCCAACTCGCAGATGCCCAGGAAGATTCCGACCGCAAAAGCATTTTCTGGCATTCTCTAGACACCTGGTACACTCAATTCTCGTCTCACTCTTACCCAATCCTCATGGGCGA